CAGGCAGGCAGGCGGGCAGACAGGCAGGCACGGATGTATGCATGCATGCTTGTATATTTGCATGCTATGTTGTGTGTACATGCGCACACATACTGAAACAGATGACTAGTCGACTACCTGTTAGTTTCGCGTTTCGCTATCATATCTTCATTAAGACTTGGCGGGCGTAAGTAATGGTCCCAAGGAATGGAACATTGCAGCCAGTCAAAAAGAGAAACCCAGGTTCCCAGGTGCGCAACACAAGTCACAAACGCGACCCCCCATATCAAGAGTCAGGAGTGCCACATTGACATGCCCTTCAGCGGCCTCGGTGTTGAAGGTGCATCGTCTGCCTGTTTGAAAGGTGAGAGTGATAGTTTAACGTAATAATTACAACCAGTCTGTTGTAAATAGTCCTGAATAACTTGGGATCCTCCTTTCCAGGGCTCCATATTCAAACCCTTGCATGTAGAGAAACCACCCCAGGACCAGAGATTATAGCTGACCAGTTTCGTATTGCTCACATCTTTCAGAACTTTATTGCTACAGGGTCGGCTTCCTTAAACTGTATGTTTTTCGTAGTGAAACATAAACTAGCACCGCCGCAGGAAAGACATCAGAATGTAGCGATGACTCTTCCGTGTTACCCTGAATCCTAAACCCCAACACATAGCATTGTGTTGCCACATGGGAAGCCGTTAAGTTTGGAGCAACCTGGATGCATGCTGTTGTCACTGGAGTTACGCTCCGGTTTGAGGTTCCATTAATACGTTAGAATGCGTTTTAGCACGTTGTAGTACATTCTAGTAGTTATAGTATAGTATGTGACAGCATGTTATGGCACATTGTCGTCCTCTATGATACAATACAAACAATAGTAAATCTATAGGTGAACCCTTGAAGCGATTTGGGGGTTTCCGAAAATAGGGGACCCTAATATAGTACCCTAAATAGTAGGTTCCTTATTATAAGGATCCCAAAATCAGGTACCCCCCCCCCCCCTTTTTCGGAAACTCCCATTTAGCTATCTGGCCTTCAGAAGGTCCATGGCTCTCAGGGAAAGACAATTCGAAAGACAGCGACTTGTGCGCTCGGTTCCCAAGCACCGCACCAAAAGAGTCACAGTTCTTCTTCATGGTGCTATAGCATATATATATATATATATGTATGTATATATATATATATTACATCCATAAATATTCTGCAGGTCCATAGCTAAAGGGATTGAGAGGTAGGGTGACTCTGTTGCCTGCTGGAAGCTTTCTACTGCCAGCTTTATTAAGCAAAGAACACAACAAACACGAAGAGGCTGCCAGGCTTGTAGCTCCGGACCGCGGAAGGGTCTGACAAAGCCCGCCTTCGAGATGGTATTGATCTGCATCACCGCCAACTTCACCAGCTTCTCGACTAGCTCCTCGCTGGGTCATCCAGGGTCTGTACAAGCTCAGGGCTCATGTAAACCCCAGGGTCGACCCGAATCGAACTTAGGAAGTTGGACGCTCGCGCTTGGCTCCCGAGCCAGACTCTTTCGCAGAGATGGACCTAGCGACATGATCGTCATCACCGTCGTGATTAGCCACGGCAGCCGTCGTCGTCGTCGTATTAGTGCATCGAATGTACTGCTCCACACCTCGCAGGTCTTCTTTCACCAAGGCCCACTATTCCACGTTACCTCACTTTATTAGATTCCGTTGAAACTCGCGGTTGAGTCTCTGTATTCTGTTCTGACCTTGTCGAAGTCTTGAACGACAAAGACCGATGCGGACACAGATTCCTCGCTTCAGTCAGTGCTCAATTCTAAATTTCGCGCTTCTGCAGGATGGCCCCAAATGCAGTATGGACCTGGAACAGGCTTCCACGGTATGGCACGCCAAGTCAGGGCTAGTAGCAGCAGCAGTGGAAGTGCGGTAGTCGCAGTCGTCGACTCGCGATCGTCGTCGTGAGGGTTGTGGTAGTGGTAGCGGCGGTGGAGGTGGTAGTAGTCGTAGTCATAGTAAAAGTGGCGATGGGACGAAGGCAGCAGCAACCGAAGAACCTGTAAAAGTTGGCATTGATACGATAGCCCTTGCGAGACACAAACTACATGGCCACGGGCTAGGTTGAACTTCAGGCGTCTGCGGTTGCCTGCTTATTGCTTATAGTGACTGTGCTGTAGAGCATCCAGGCTCTGGTTCCCCCTCAGTGCAGCAGATGTCAGTCAGGGGATGCTCCTCCTGTGTCTCTCCACCACGCGTGTATGTACCTGACACAAGGTGATACTTAAAGGATCATGGGACTTAGTAAGTAGGGTTATAACTAAGGCAACCATACTTATAACCCCAATTAAAGGACTTATAACCTTACTTACTAAGTCCCATGATTCTTTAAGTAGTCATGACCGTTCTCAAGAGGCAAGAGACGGCATGCAACTTGCCAGCAACGGGCCCTACGGAACCCGTCAGAGGATTTCGCAAGGGAGTCCAAACCCAGCAATACGACGATCTTCAGACGGCGCACGGTCTAACGGATTTTCGGGGATTTGGGTGTCCAGGTTGAGGGTCCAGTCTAGTCCCTAACAGATATATGGCGACGTGTGTAGAGGTTGCATCTCCACTGAGGCTGTGGGACTTGTTCTTTCAATTGCCTGTAGACGACTCCAATCCCTAATCCCTGCACATTGAGCGCCGTTGCCGCTCCTTTCGTCATGAACCAGCTGTTCAATGCATGGTGCTGATGTCGTCGTCGTTGTTGTTGCTGCTGTTG